ATCATCCCATCCTTCTTCTCACTTTGGCAGCTAAGCTCCTCGAGGACGCTGTCTACAATAGGTGCTTCTTCATTCTTTCCTCTCACTCTCTTCTTAAACTCTACAGTCTGGCTCCCAACATTGTCACTCAACTGAAACTTCTCTCTCCAAAGTTACTGTAATGACTGCCACTGATCATGCTGTGTCCTGAGTCTTCTTCTCTTCTCCCTCTATACTATTTCACTTGGTAATCTCATTAGCTTCCATGGATTCAGTTACTGTCTCTTGCTGATGATTCCCAGATCTATTTATTCAGCCTTGATCTCTCTGTTGACCTCCAGACTTGCATCTTCAGCTGCCTAGTTGACATCTCACACCAGGTGTCCCAAAGATATCTTACATTCAGCATGTCTAAAAATGGACTAGTTATCTTTCCCCCAATGTTCCCCCTCTTTGTAACTTCTCCTCTACTGTGGGGAGCTATGCCAGTCACTTCTCCGTATCACCCAGGCTTACACCTTTGGTGTCATCCTCAATTCCTTCTTCCCTCTTCCCTTCCATAGTTAATCTCTTGTCAATTTTTCCTTTGTAACATCTCTGCACATGATAAGCACTTAATAAATGGTTATTAAACCTAAATCTAATACACCCTGGAGAAACGAAGCTACTCCGTTTTGGAACTCCCACCCCAGGGCTGTGATGTCCTGAGTAGTAGAAGCTGCTACACATAGGTAGCCCCAGACATGATGATGCTTCTCTTTGGCCTTTTTGTTTCTGCCATGCGGCTCACTGTCGAGCACAATGGATGGCACAGGAGGATGGGGGAGACATGGGTGTGTTTGTACTTTATTGCCTCCTTTCCTTCCCAGCTTATAGTGCCTTCATGTCCCCCTTCTATTTTGTGTACTCTGTAAGTGTTTTGCATTAAATATATCTGGTCATGTTGTTTCCCCTGAATAAAATGTAAGCTCATTGCAGGCAGGGCCCATATCATTTTTAATTTGTATCTTCAATGTTTAGGACAGTGCCTGACACATAGTAAGTGCTGAATAAATGGTTGTTGATTGATTATTGATGATAATTGTCACAAGGTGTAGCAAAATAGTAAAAAAGGGACATATGCCCTTTTTGTCAAATACATTTGATTTTGACATCCATTTTCATATTCCTAATCCCTACTTGGGAAATCCTGCCTGTTACGGGTTCTTGTTGTTGAGACTTTTCAGTTTTGTCCTGTACTTTATGACCCCATTCAGGATATTCTTGGCAAAGCTACTGGAGTGGTTTGCCATTTCCTTCTCTCTCATTTAAGAGATGAGGAAATTGAGGCAGAGTTAAGTGACTTGCCCAACATCACATAGCTAATGTCTGAGTCCAGATCTGAACTCATCGAGCAGTCTTTTTACTTCCGGCCTGCATTGTATCTACTGTACCACCTAGCTGGCCTGTTATGGATTTTTGGAAAAGATTTAAATGTTGGCCTTGGGCTTGGATTCAAATGACCTCCAAGGTACTAAAATATTGTGGATTCTTAGAGAAGTCATGATATAGTTAGAGATCCAGTAGAAAGAACCAGTTGGGTGGTCTTTAATAGTGAGGAAGTTGTAGGTGAGGGGAATATGGCATGGAAATATGCAAAGAGTCCACTACTAATAGTGGTGTGCATAAAGTTCAGTTTCTTTATCTTCCAAGGCTCTAGAAGGAGCCATCAGGAATGGACAGCTTTCTGAAAGCAGGATGGGTGAAGAGCTTGTTCTATATATCAGTGGGAGAGTTAAAGCATCATGTGAATTATGATGTTGACATCCACTGCTTTTTAAAAAAATTTAACCAAGCCTGGACAGCCAGTGAAAATGTTCACCGTCTGGAGGCAGATAGGTGTCAGAGGAGATATAGCCTTAGACTTGGAGTCAGAAAGACCTGAATTCAAATTTTGCCAACAATACCTATTAGGCATGTGATCTTGGGCAAGTCACTTAGCCACTGTCTGCCTTAAATATCCTCATCTGTAAAAAGGAGCTAATAATAGCAGGTACCTCCCAGGGTTGTTGTGAAGATGAAATGAAATTTGTGCCTAGCACATAGTAGGCATTTATTGAAAGTTGCTAAATTTACATATATATTTGTGTGTGTGTGTATGTATATATATATAATATATGTATACGTATGTGTGAGAAAGCTTTTATTTATGCTGTCAGTTCCCCCTCGATCCTAATGTCCCACCAAGCATGGGGCAGTGGACAAAAAGCTGGATGTAGAGTCAGAAGAGTAAAGTCCATATCCCATCATGGCCACTCATTACCTGCATGACCTGGACAAGTCCATCATTCTCAGTTTTCTCACCTATAAAATTCATGGTTTAGACTGGTTGACTCTGAAGTTCCTTCCAACCTTATACCTCTGATGCATGCTTTTACGAACCTCAGAGGTCCTTCGAAAGTCTAAATTTCTGACCCTAGAATGTCATGATGTTATACAGTGCAAACATGTGAAAGGAGAAATAGAAACTGACCTGGACAGACTGTTGAGTGATCAGTCCATTTCCTGATGAGAGGGCACTGAATGCATCAATGAGCCCATTGTTCTGGGCATTGTCTGTAGCAGCTGTCTGCACACCTCCTAAAGCAGGATCATATTAACAGAATTTAAATAATTGGCACAGGATAGTGACAACTTAACAGTCTTACCAAAGGTATTTTTTCAAAAAGTTTTATGTTCTTTCATAAACTGCAGCCATTCTACAGGTGGTAGGAATACAGCCTCAGTCTAGGAGGTCAAGGTCAAACTTTTCAATCTTGTGGTGTATAAAGTATATGTTATACAATCATTAAAGTCTCATTTACCTAGAACACAACCAAGGCCCTAGGAAGAGATAAAAATGCTGATAAGGACTCAAATAAGTGTCACAGAATCTATGATGTTAACCAGTTCACTTATTTCATTCATAATTGAGCTTCTTGGATCCTCACTACTTCAAGGATCCATCAGTTCAGCTGTTCAGGGGCTCTTGGAACATAGTAGGCATTTAATGTTTATTGCCTGACCTTCCAGAGCCTGTGCCCCACTTCCATAGCCTTCAGAAACCCTAGGTCACCTGTACTGGTTCACCTGCAGATCTCAGTGAAGAATGTGAGGGGAGGTTCATATAGAAATAAGTTTTGTGCCTATTGAAGAAACATATGCTCCAGGTTATCATTTACCTGTCATCTTTGACAGCTTCTCCAGATCTATGGCTGCAGAAGGTCCCAGAGCAACTGTGTGGATGATGGCCCCACTTTGTTCCACTTCATCAAAACATGTGTTGATTGTATTGTCTTCCCCATCAGTCAGAAGGACTATTTCTGAACCATCTGTTGAGAATTTCTTTCCTATTACCTAAAAGCAGAGATTCATCCCAGACCTTGGTAAGCAGACTTAGTTGTACCAGGTAACCCTGAATGAGTGGGTCTGGCCAGGAATGAAAGAAGAAAATAAAGGAAAGACCCCAGGAACCCCAGGAGGATTTTCCTGTCTTAAGATTTTCAAATACGAGACGTGCAACTTTCAGGAACTCAGCCCAAGCCCTTTTTCTCTTGATCTAATCCAGGAAATTTGTCACAGCTGATGCTTCCATTTGGAAGCAGGGCTGTTCTGGTGAATGTGAGTGACCCAGCTTCTGTACACTGGTATTCAGTCCCAGCCAGGGTATCTGTTCTTTGTGGCTGTAGCACACATGGTGGCTGAGGAGACACTGGACAGATGAACACCCACTATGTGCATGGAATTGTTTCTGATTCTTTTGTTATTCCTGGGAGGGCTAGAGAGGAGGAAGCTTAGGAACCTTAGAGGGGACATGATATGGTGCGAAGAGTCTGAGGCCCTTTGGGTCTCAGTTTCCTCATCTGCAAAAGGAAGATACAGGTGGCCTGTGAGGTCTCCTCTAGCTCCAACTTTATGCTCCTGTGCTCTCTCTCACCTGCTTTATTTGGCTAATCCCCTTCATAATAGAGAGTGTTTTTCAACAGAGGCTTTGGGATACCATGCTCTACATGAGGTGCCAAACTGGACACTCAGAAACAAAGGTATGACTAATAGCACTCAGTTCAGGGAATAGGGTAGGAATCGTGGGGTAAGACCTCCCTCCACTAAATCAGATGACAAGCCTTAGGGTGTTGTCTGAGATACTTCGATGTTCAATGACTTGTGCAGGGTCATACCTAAAACTTTCAGTAGTGGAAGTTAAGATCTGGCCTTTCTCAATATTCTATCTGTGAAGCAAAGCTGGCTTTACAGGAAATATTATATTCCAGTATACCAATGGATCTGAAATTCCATCTATGTGAGTATCCCCTCCCATGATGCAAATCACAACCCATCCTTAACTATATCAGCAGGTAGGTATGGCAGTGGAGAGAGTTGGGCTTAAATTCAAATCTGACTGTCCTCGTTGTGTGATCCTGGGCAAGTCATTTAACCTCAGCCTGCCTCAGTTTCTTCATCTGTAAAATATAGCTAATAGGACCACCTTCTTCCCAGGGCTATTGTGAGAATCAAATGAGATAATATTTGTGAAATGCTTAGCACAGTGCCTGGCACTTAAGAAATGCTCATTACCTTAACTACCTGTATGACTCTTGTCTATATTCTTCTACTTGTTTACCACAAGGGAGCCATTCAATGCGCTAGGGGCCTTCCTTGAGTTCCTGGGACATTGGAATGATGCCAGTGGAGCACAAGGGCTGCTACCCCTAACTGTATCTGTGTGACCAGGACATTTGATTATAATAATGATTGGCATTTACATAGTGCTTTCAAGTGTGCAAAGCACTTTATATCTATGATCTCATCTGAGTTTCCCATTTATGATATGAGGCAGGTACTAGTACTATGGGCACTGATATCTCCATTTTACAAGTTAGGAAATTGATGCTCAGGGTGGTTGACTGGCTTACCTGCAGTCATTAAGGGATCAGAAGCAGAGTGGAGCACAGGTTTCCCACACACTGAGACCTACACTCTATTCACTATGCCTCTGTGCGTCTTATGGAGAATTCGGTGCCATAGACAGCAATGTACCTATTAGACCCAGGCATTTATTTCCTCCAAAAGTGGCTCCACTCTAGATGATGCCATTCTTTGATACTCCTCCTTGTAAAATCTCTCAGATTTGAAGGTTTTTGTCTGACCACAATCTCATGTACTTCCACATCTCACTCATAGTGACTTCTCCTAACCCTGCTCTTCTTCTGTGCTGTGCCCTCTGATCTCTTAATCCCTGTCTGACTCCCCTATCCAATGCTCCACAATCTCTTGCGTCTTTGGCCTTCCACTGTCATCATCCTTTTACTTCCCAACACTGAGTAACTCAATGTTTCTGTCCAGCTCCTGAGCAATGGAGGACTGGGACAGACAGCCCTGAGACAGTGGTCCCCCCTTATGTGCATATGCCACATGCACTTCAGCCAGACCTTTACTATGCTTGTTGCAACTACTCTTAATTGATTGTCCCGCACATCCCTCACAGCATCTGTTCTAACCATTTTCCCAACTCTTTGAGACCCCAGCTTCTCATCCAAATCTCTCAACTACCAGCACATGACATCATCTCTAAATTTGCAGAAAAAGTTGAAGCCATCTGGCATGTTTTCTGGTCTTTCACCCATGTCCTTCCTCCTGTATCAGAGGAAACAGCAGTGCTGTCATGTCAAAGCCAATCTCTCCTCAATGACCCGGATGCTGTCCCTTTCCTTTTCTCCAGGACCTTGTTCCATTGACCCTCGTTCCTTCTATATCACTCAAGTTCCTATGATCAGGGTTCCATCTGTTCTTCTGTATTGAATTTTGTATCTATAAAATCATCCATGACCTCTTAGTTCTCATTCTTCTTGACCTTTATCCCATTCTTTCTACATACAAATTACTTACTATACAAATATATACTATACTTACTATAGAAATACCATATATGGTATGTCCAATTCCCACCCACTAAGATACCTTTTGTTTCTTTCAGCTCCCTCATTGGTAAAATGAGGCAGCTGGGCCACAGGATGACTAAGATAATTCTATAATTTTATTTCATATCAAGGGCAACAATCTTTAGACAGAATTAGTGCATCAAAATGTGGAAAACCCTCCATAATGGTAGTCAAAACATCAATTCATCACTCTTTGTCTGTGTTATAACAACCCCCTACTGGATGACTAACAGCTCCTTATCTCATTGTGTTAAAATGAATCAACAGAAATATCTGGCTTTCCCAGAATGGAGCCCAGATTAAAGATCATTATACCTGGTTGCCCTGCATGCTTCTGCTGCATATCATGCCCCTTTTTATATATTATTAACAGTGCCTTTCGCATTGGTTTTATAATTGCACAGCCTGTATGGGTTAGAGTACTACAGATTTAGAGCTAGAAGGGACCTCAAAAGTCATCAACTCTACTCTGCTTTTTCTACAGATGAGGAAACTGAAGGCTGCACAAATAAATTGTCCTGCCCAGGGTCACACAGCTAATAAGTTTCTGAGGAAGAATTTGAACTTGGTTCTTTCTGACTCTGCATTGATAGTTCTAGCCACAGTTACTTTTTTGCCTCTCAGGAGGGATTTGAGCCCAAGTCTCCCTGAGTCTAAGGTTGACTTCCTACCTTCCTTTCTTCCTTAGTTCAACACTAAGTGCTTACTATTCTTTGGGCTAAATTTAATTAGGATTTCTCCACATCTCCATGTCTTGATATCCCTTACCCTCCCTGGAAATACATTCACTTTTTAGAGGCATCAGATTTGTACTAGACAGTAGGCAAGTGAAGGTCATCCAAAATAGAAATTCACTTTCAAAATATCCACTACAATAGAGACAGTGGAGGGGAGACAATTTCACCTGAAAGGCTGATCTGAGTCCAGAGCAGATGGATGTTCCTCCTGAAGCGAAAGCAGGTAACTTGGTAATGAGGGTATTCCTCTGAGCATCTGTCTCTACCTGTACCAGTTCACTACGGACAGAGGCTGCACTGTGAAATGTGACCATCCCAACCCAGGATCCACGTTCAATGATCTGAAGCAGGAAATGTTTGGAGGCTTGATTCAGGCGATTTAGCCGGTTCTCACTCTGCATGAAAAACACAAGTCCAATTGGTAAGTGGTCTTCTGCAAGCAAGCTATAGCAGGATGGACTAAGGCCATATATAGAACTCTAGGGGCTCTAAGTCCCATGGTGGACACTCTGGATTCTCCATGATTAGGAAATAGAAAACAAGATCTGGAGTATTCTTCTAGGCTAGAAAGGATTTGAGAATGGGCTTGGAGATGGGCTACATGTTTGCTACCTGAGGACAAGGCCACTTAAATTTGGAGAGGCACATTGCGAGGTGACCATAGGTACAGTGCATGTTTCAGCTGTAGTAACTCTGCAAGCTCAAGTGGTAGAAGGGTTTTTCTGAACATTGGTGGACCCATGTTAACAGATTCTGAAAGGACTAAGGTATGGTATTTTAAGTAGGAGTATGGTTGTGAATGAGTTGGTGTTGGTCTTAGTAGATGAAAGAAGTTGTGTGAAATATTTTTGCCTTTTAATTTGAGCCACATCACCAGAGATGAGTTACTATGTAGGATAGACACTTGACCTGTGATTTCAATGGTGCAGGTACTCCCAAATGAGGAAAATCTCTCTACTGGGGTAGGGTGGCACCTTCTCTGCAAATTATTGTTTCAGGGAATTTCCTAAGCAGTATATGTGAGATGTGGGAACTGAAACCAGATCCTCCTGACTCAGAAGTTAACTTTCCATCCACTTATACCAAATTGTCTCTTTTTTGTTTGTTTGTTTGGGCTAGGCAATGGGGTTAAGTGACTTGCCCAGGGTTACACAGCTAGTAAGTGTTATGTGTCTGAGGCCAGATTTGAACTTGGGTCCTCCTGAATTCAGGGCCAGTGCTCTATCCACTGTGCCACATAGTTGCCCCCAGATTGTCTCTTACTGAATTATTTGCAAACAAGGAAACTAATAAACTTTTATGATGGGACTACTAAGCCATTTTGATCAGTGGTGCATGGCAGAGTAGAGTAGAGAATGCCCATATTAATGAAGTTGCTGGTCTTTTAAAGTATAGAATCTGGTCTGCATTTTTAGATAGGATGTTTGATGACTTTGTACAATCATGAAGAAAGGAGGAAAATATGATGTCATGCAAAGTTGATTGGGTCGTTCAGTTAACAGGGACTACAGATTCTCATGGGCTGGGAAGTGAAATGTAGAGCAAATTCTTAGTTTATTCACTCTTTGACAAAGTATCATCTTGATACAGGGGATAATTCATCATGAATCTTTAGTGGAGAAAGAGGAGGAGTGGGAGTATGAGTATGTCGGGAACCTTGGTGAAGGGTGAGGGATTCCCTGCTCTTCGTTTCCTTTAAACCATGAGATCAATGTGGTTTCCAACAAGCCCAAGATTCTGTGGGTCCATCAGGTGCTGTCAAGACACCCCTCCCACCTCCAGGAGAATGGGGCAGGTATGGCTTACCGCCATGCTTCCAGACTTATCCAGAACTAGGCACAGGATCCTTTCTCGGATCTGTTTCAGCGAGAAGGTGGGCTGGGGTGGCTGTGCTGCTGTCATCGGAGTGGAAGCCTTGTAGTCTTCAGAATCTTGGATCACTTCCCATGTGCTCCTGAGGCTGCACTTCTGGTTTTGAGCATTTGGAGCATTTTTGTTATGGTTCTTTTCTGTACAAAATTCAACCACCTGAAAAAGCCCAATTGCATGACAAATATGAAAACTATGAACCAGGGCTTCCTAACCTGGGTCTGTGATCTAGGTTTTGAAAAGACATTTGTATACTTTCTAAAATGCAATTGGTTTTGTTTGTCATCTGGATTATTTTATTTTGTGCATTTAAAACTTGATTATGTAAAGGGTTCCAAAAGCTGCACCAGTGTATTGATTGGTCCATGACACAAAAAGCAACCCTATGATGATTAGGGGGGGAAGTAACTCATTTGAAAACTCCTCAACAGTCCAGGGATTCTAGACCTGCCCCTTCCACTGTCTTGGCTCAGTAATTTAACCTTAGTTTCCTCACCTGCAAAGTGAAGACATTGGACTAGATAAGTAGGTTCTGGGATTCTTTTACACTACAAAATAATTGAGGACCCTTCCCCTGAGAGCTTGTGTTTATGTTTGTTTTACCTATTTATATTTACCACATTAGAAATTAAACTGCCTTAGTATCATCATGAAACAGTTTTGACTGAACAGATGCTCCCCGAAATGGTCTCTGGGACTGCATCTTGAATGTGCTTGATCCAACTCTAAGGGGCTGTGAAGAGCAGTAGTTGAATTTTCAGCATGAGCTTTTCCACGTCAGGTATCAGCAAATACTACAAATTAGAGCTTGGCTTATTTTTTCGTTGAGTATCTACAGGTGACAAATTGGCAGCCCATGCACTTGGAAACCAGATAGGGAAATATTTAACAAAATAAATAAAAAAAATAAAATGTGGATAAGATTACATTTTAAAACAAGTCATTATCCAGGTAAAGGGATCCTTCTGCATGGATCAATGGGCTCATTTCTATTTCAGTTTGACACACTGGTATAGACTTAAGAAAGTGAAGAGATAATGTTAACAATGCCGCTATCACTTACAATGTGTCTTGCATGTATTTTTTTTTCAGTCACTAGTTAAACATTTACCAGCCTACGTCTGCCCACATCGTTTCCCAGTACATAAATGGCGAAATTGACTGATTGAGTTCCAGATCCTCTTCCACTTAGACTTTTCTCTGAGTCTAGGATTCTGAGTTTGATTTGAGTATGAGCACTTACAAGGGGAAGAGACAATGACTGAAAGCTAGCAGGGGCTCCTGAAGAAGCAGTCATGTCAGACTGACCTTGATTCTGTTTATCACCAGCTCACTAGACAGAGACATCATGGCAACATCTGAGGCATCTGGATTTCAGCAAAATGTTTGACTGAGTATCTTTGTGAACATGTTGAAAAATTGTAGAAAAAAATAATATAGCTAATTGGGTTCAGCCTTGGTTGACTGACTCCAGAAGTGGTAATTCATGTAGTAATACAAAGGTATCAGTATGGCAGGCTACGTTTAGTGGAATGGCACAAGGACATTTCCTTGGCCCTGTGCTGTTCTATTTGTTTACCTAATTTTTAATCTAATTTTAAAATGAGTTTTAAGTGACTTGAATGAAGGCATAAAGAGCATCTGTGTCTGCTTTTCAGATGTTGCAAAACTGGGTGGGATAGCTAAGACACTGGGCTTCAAGTTCCCTAAAAACCTCACTAGGCTGGAATAGGAAGCGAGGTAAAGACCATAAGGTGAGGAGAAGTGGGAGTCCTTTAGGTGGGTTCAAGAATCACAAGTACCGAATGGGGAAATTTGTCTAGAAAGGAGTTCATGAGGGCGAGAAATGATTAAGGCACCTTTTAGATGTCAGGCACAGTACTAAGTATTTTTACAATTATTATCTCATTTGATCCTCATAACAATCCTGGGAGACAGGTGTTATTATTATCCCCATTTTACATATAGGTCAACTAAGGCAGGCAGAGGCTAAGTGACTTACCCTGGGTCACACAGCTTGAAAGTGTCTGAGGCTGGATTTGAACTCACATTTTTCTGACTCTAGGCCCAGTACACCAACTTGCTGCCTCAATGAAAAAAAATCCTGGTGTTTATAGTGAACTGCACCCTCAACATGAGGAGTCTGGAAGAGAGGCAGCAGTAGAAAGAGTGCTGGCTTTGTATTTAGAGATCCTGAGTTCAAATTCTGGTTCTGCCATTTGTTACTGTGTGACCTGAGTCACTTACCTCCCTGAATCCCACTTAGTCATGTGCAAAGTGAACTAGAAGGCCTCTAAAATAATGGCCAGTCGCAAACCCATGATCCCATGCATAGTCTGATGTAAGCCCCCAAAGTAAATGTATCCCAGGCTGCATTAATATACATAGAGTTTCCAAAGGATGAGAGTGCCCTTCTTCACTGGCCTGGTCCCACCACACCTGAAGTACTGAGTCCAGTTCTTGGGATGACATTGTAGAAGGGACAGTGTCCACCTGGAAAGTATCCATAGGGAGATGACCAGAACTGTGGGGAGGCTCTGAACTATGGCACCATGTGAAGACAGGTCGAAGGAGTGGAGGAAAACCAGCCTAAAGAAGAGAAGGCTCTAAGGAACATGATAGCTTTCTACAAATATTTTCAGTGATATAAATGGACAAGATGTTAGACTTGTTATTGAGCCTGGTTAGATGGTTGTGCGTGTGTGTATATGTGTGTGGGTACAGAATTAGGACCAGTGGCTAGAAGTTACAGAAAGTCAGGTTTTAGCTCTATGTAAAGAGAAACTCATTTAGAGTTAGCCTTCCAGAAATGGAATTGGATATTTCCCAGAGATGATAAACACCTCATTACTCAGTGGAAGACTTCCTGTTGCTGGACATCTTCATCTGGACAAACAAACTGTCACAGATATTGTGGATGAGATTCATGCTGTGGTCAGAGTTTGGGTAGGACCACATTTGAGCATACAAACCCCTAAATACTATGTTGTTCCAGTGGTATTTGCTGAGCATTGTTGCAGGTTCATGGACTTGGCTATTGCCAGAGAGAATGGTTAGTGGCAGTGGGAGCTGTCCAGGTCAGGTAGCTTTGGACCATATAGAAGGGTGGGGTTAGCCTAACACAGATGGGCACAGTGCCCGCAGTTAACTCTGTTTTCACAGGAACTTCTGTTTCTGCCCCTCCTTGCTGGATTCCAGGAGTAATGGAGTGTTCTGTCAGCACCAGAGACTTCATTCAGTTCAGTCTCTTAGAGGCCCTGGTGCTTGAAGAGAGCAAGTGACCCTTTATTAGATGCAGTGAGGAGACAGAAGTGCCATACATGGAAGCGCAGATCATCTGTTTGCCATATTTTTCACTGAGTCAAAATTGGGAGGGAAGACTAATCCATAGGATTACAGAGCTAGGGTCCAAAAGTTCTCAGCAGGCCCCTTCAATTACTCAGCTAAAAGCAACTGTTTTACAACATATTAAATGCCTATTGTGTGCCAAGCCAAAAAAGGAACTAACTTTGAGAATCCCATGAGAAAGTAGGTGTTTGATGAGTGTTTCTTGAATTGAGTTGAATTAAATTAAATTGAATTAAAACAACTCAAATTGAGCACAGCCATGTAGCATAGTGGATACATCATTGGGCCTATAGTCAGGAAGACCTGAATTCAAATCCCAACTCAGATGTTTACTAGTGACTCTGGACAAGTCACTTAACTTCTGTCACTCTCAGTTTCCTCATTTGTAAAATGGGGATAATATGAGCTACCTTCCAGAGTTTTTGGAGGATAGAAATCAGCTGATATTTATAAAATGCTTTGGAGATCTTAAAGCAATGTATAAATGTATAATGATTATTATTATAATTTTTGAAACTTTTTTGCCATTCCATAAGGATAGGATTATGAAGTAATGGAATAGCTCCTGGACATTTTACCTGCAAATATTTTCCAATTCCATTATATCTCCGTGCAACAATTTTACCTCGTTTTACTTGGATATTTTCATGGTATTCACTGACGTGTCTCTGTTATTTTATCCTCTCTGGACCAAAGGGGGAATACAGTTTTACAGAAAACCATTTGGTTTCTCAGTGATGAAGGGCCCTCTCTTAAGCCACATTGTTGCTTTTCTTTGTTTCAGGTCCTATGTGCAATTGGCTGCTTTTTTATATGTATCACCAAGATAGAGAATTAGGTCAAGTTCTCTCCTTAAAAGCATGAAAGCTGGAAAAAAACCAGTTTAGGAACATGTATGTGTGTGTGTGTGTGTGTGTGTGTGTGTGTGTGTGTGTGTGTACACATATGCATATACATACATATATTTTTTCTAGGATGATTTTTGAGAGATGTTTGACAATGAGGGGCCAATTCAGTGAGGCACCATCTACCTTCCTGAAAGCTTAGCTTTGTTGTTCAGTCACTCAGTTGTGTCTGACTCTTTGTGACCCCATGGACCATAGAATGCCATACTCTTCTATCCTCCACTATTTCTTGACATTTATCCAAGTTCATGTTTGTTTCAATCACACTATCTATCCCATCCTCTGCCATCGTTTTGCCTTTTGCTTTCAATCTTTCCCAACATCAGGATCTTTTCCAATGAGTCCTCCCATCTTCTCATTATGTGACCAAAGTATTTATACTTCAGCTTCAGTATTTGACCTTCCAGTGAACAGCCTGAGTTGATTTCTTTAAATATTGACTGATTTGATCTCATTGCTGCCCAAGAGTCTCTCAAAAGTCCTCCAGCACCACAATTCATATGTGTTGATTCTGTGGTGCTCAGCTTTCCTTATACCATATACTGCTATTGGAAAAACCATAGCTTTAAGTATATGGATCTTGTCAGCAAGGTTATGTCTGTCCTTGTTAGTATGATGTTCAGATTTGCCATGGATTTCCTTCCAAGGAGCAAGCGTCTTTTAATTTCATGGCCGCAGTCACCATCTGCAGTGATCTTTGAGCTCAGGAATATGTAATCTGACATTGCTTCCATTTCTTCTCTCTCTGTGTGCCAGAAAGTGATGGCACAAGTTGCCAAGATCTTAGATTTTTTTTTGATGGTAAACTTCAAGCCAGCTTTTACACTCTCTTCCTTTAAGCTCATAAGGGTGTCTGTAAGTCTTCTCTTTCTGCCATCAGAGTGGCATCATCTACAATCTGAGATTGTTGATACTTCTCCTGGCATCATCAATTCCAGTGCCAGATTCATCCAGCTTGGTATTTCACATGATGTACTCCACATATAATTTAAATAAATCAGGTGACAATATACAGGCTTGTTGAACTCCCTTTCCAATCTTAACCCATCAGTTTTTTGATGTTCGGTTCTAACTATTGCTTGTTGACCCACAAACGTGTTCCCTGAGAGATGGGTAAGATGATCTGAGATGTCTGTCTGAGGACTAGCCATATTTTGTTGTGATCCACAGAGTCAAAGGGTTATGACTCAGCTGGAATTCTATTACCTCCACTAGTCTTATTGTTAGCAATGCTTCTGAAAGCCCTCTTGACTTCATTCTCCAAGATGTCTGGTGCTAGATCAGTAACTACACCAATGTGGTTATTGGTGATGTTAAGATTTTTTCTTGCATAGTTCTTTTGTATATTCTTGCCACTTCTTAATCTCTTCTGATTCTATCAAGTACATACCATATTGTCTTTTTAATGTCCATTTTTGCATGAAATGTTCCCTTGATATTTCTAAGTTTCTTTTGAAGAAATCTCTTGTCTTTCCCATTCTATTATTTCTATTTCTTTGCATTCCTCATTTAAGAGAACCTTATTATTTCTTTTGCTCTTATCTCGAATTCTGCATTTGGCTGGCTATACCTTTACCTTTCTACTTTGTCTTTCCCTTTCCTTCTTTCCTTAGGTACTTGTAAAACCTAGTCAGATAGCCAGAAAGCAGAAACCATAGCTTAGTCTGCCTTTTTCCCCTAAATGAGAAGGCAGTACTTCTGTCAGTCAGTCAATAAGCATTTGGCCTCTGAGCTAAAATGCTGAAATTACTGAGATTTAAAAGACTACTTTAAGCTTATTTATAGTGTGAATAATTTTCAAAAGGCTAGACTCTTTAGACAATTATGAAGAGATAGGATAATGTTTAACAGAAAGTTAAGCATTAAATAAGAACTATTGAGATTAAAGACAGTTTCAGAGGATTTATGACAAAAAATCCTATGCACCTCCAGAGAAAACAAACTGATGGAGTCTGAATGCAGATCAAAGAATCTTTTTTAAAAAAACTTTCTTTATTGGAGGTTTGTCTGTTTTGTTTTGCAATATGGCTAATATGGAAATATGTTTTGCATGATTGTACATGTACAATCTGTAGCAATTGCTTGTCTTCTCAAAGAGGGGAAGGGGAAGTGGAGAATTTGGAACTCAAAAAATATGTTAAAATGAGTGTTAGAAATCGTTTTTATATGTAATTGATCAAAAAGAACTATGCAGGATACCATGACCCTTTATCCTCTCTAACCTTCAAGAAAGTATTCACTCTCAAAGCCCCAAATTTCCTTATTTATTTTAAGGATTTAAGGGTATTTAATTTCAAGATCTTAAAGTAAAAGAGAATGTCCAGAGTGTATTGGGGAAGGGGGAAATAAGAGGATTGGAGCAATGATGGTGGTATTCTCTTGTATTCTCATGATTTTGTATCCTCAGCCTTCCCTTTTAGAGAAATAATGGCTCAGTGAGGATCTGCCTAGATCAAGGGGTCCACCTCAGGTTATCTGGACAGATGTTCTGATAGAGAGACTGGGGTAAGGAAAGGGCCCTGAGCTAGCAGTGGGACCAGGCATCACTCACTTCATTTCTCCAAGTTTCCATTTCCTCATGTGTGAAATAGGAGTGAAGGTTACGGTAAATGAGGTCATTCTAAGCATCAAATAAGAAGGTAGAGGCAAAGTGTCTTGCAAACATTGACACTAAATAAATGTCAGCTCTTAAGGTTAGAAGAGGCCCTGTTTCTTCTTTTTACAGACTTCAGAATGAATAATCCAAATACTTACAGAATTGATGCTTTGCATGAACATGATGGAGGCTTTCTCAGTCTGAACTTTGTCAGGTAGGAAAAAACAGTCTTTGTCAAACTTTCCTGTTTTGGGATCTGTTGTGCATGATGTGACTGAACAGCTGCCTCCAGAACATGTATATGCCTTATTTGCACCAGTGATAGCTTCAGAACATCTGAAAATATATCAGTATTAGACTTCAAGAACGTCAGTTTGTATATAACACCCCAACCTATGTATAACCCTGATGTGATCACATCAAGGATTCTTGATCACCGAATGTGTTTATCAAGCAACCCATTTAGGCAGCAAAGTCTCAGGCAGGCAGGAAGAACAATTTATGTTTGGCAGGGAACTCCTTCAGGGAATTTCGGGTGGGCTTCTTGGAATATACCAATCCTAGCCTGTCTGCAGGAAGAACCAGGTCAGGTCACCGGTGTCTCTGACTGTGCTGCTCACAAGAATGGATTCCGTGCTCCTCATTGTCACCCTCATGAGAATTAAGAGGGAATTTTCCTCATTCTTAGCAACTATAGAAGTTGCTCAGTGTTGTTATCACCACTAACATGTGGGGCAGCTCAAGTTTTTTATCTGTATTCCTAAGAATGCAATTTGTTTTTCATTGACTTCTTTCACAAGGTTTAATTCACTCATTAGATCAAAAGTTCTCAACAAAGCACCTCTCAGAGCTCTCTGGCCCAGGAAAGCATGGAGAGGAAATAAGGGTACCACAAAGACTCATGTCCTTCCCAATACCTTGCATTTATTTCACATCTATTTTGTGGATATATGTATAGAAGTATAGGTTATTTCCCCCAAGGTCCTTGATGTTATATTTTTTTAGTTTTGGTTAGGCAATGGGGTTAAGTGCCTTGGACAGGGTCACACAGCTAGTAATGTTATGTGTCTGAGGCCGGATTTGAACTCAGGTCCTTCTGAATCCAGGGCCTGTGCTCTATCCACTGCTCCACCTGTCTGCCCTCCCCACCCATCCCAAGGTCTTTGAGAGCAGAGGCTTTCACTCTTCCCTTTGAATCCCCAGGACCTAGGACAGCACCTAGCACACCCCACACACAGGTATTTCATCAATGCTTGTGGATTGACTGAAGCTAAACCTTTTGTGAACCCAAGAGGGAGAGCAATGTGGGTTTCCTGCAGAGACAAGAAGAGAGCAAGTGTAGCCTGCATAAGGAAGGATACTGGCACTTACCTTCCTTGAGAGGTGAAATTACCCTCTGTGAAACTGAAAAGTAATAGAATGTTGCTTGTGCTTCCTCCTAAAATCATTCAATACCTTGATTGTATATGAAGAGAAAGAGGAAAAGGACCAGGTAGGTCCTTTGGTACAGTGAGGGTGTGGTATTCCAACATTTGGGGGGCTTCTACTGTCTCTGTCTGTCAGTATGCACTGCTGATGTCCTGAGGAGGCAGCAGGGACTTGTGCTAGGTTTATCTCTGTAGGGGTGGCTTGTATCTAATGCCTTGTTTGCAGGTATCTCTGTTCCAAACATATGTAGCAACACCAAAGAGTTGGTCTGTCATGATTTTGTGCATCAGATTCAGAAAAAATTTCTGTGCTTTGATATAACTGCCTCTGCTTTAAAGTATGCTGGGGTAGGAACCTGTCGCATATTATATAAAAAAAGGTTATAATGAAATTGATGATATACACAACATTGTTGTAGTCTATAGCTGAAAGAAAAACAATCTTGATAACTGAAATATTTTTGAAAATTAACTCAAGAATAGATGACTTCAATTTGATGTAGTTCACAAAAAAAGTGAAAAGAAGATAATCATACTTTACTGGTACATTTTTTCCATTAGACTGGTAGAAACGCTCGGCTTCATTGTATTCCTCAAATACTCCCCACCGCAAATGGGCCCATTTATGAACTAAAATTCTACCTGTGAAAATATATTTGAAATGCAAAAATATGTGGTTATTCCCTCAATTCTATGTGAGTATTCCATTCATCAATGCAAATCGCAGCCTAGTCATGCTTTCTTCTCCTGTGAAATTCTAATTCATGGTCCCCCACAGATCACCTGTAGATACATTACCCAGTGCACTGAGGGCCTTCTTCTAGAGTTTTGTGTTTTATGAGATATTTATAAAGCACTTAGCACAGTGCCTGGCATGTAATCGAGTATTGCTAAATGTTTCCTTTTTACCTTCTTTCTTTTTTTCTTTCCTTCCTTCCTTCTCTTTTATCCCACTCTATTACTTCAATAATTTGATGAATGTGTGATCTCATTAATTCAGCTATAGTCATCAGTGGTAGGGATTTCAGTTCATCCATGTCTGCCCACCTTATGTCCCTCCCCAACTCCCCTGCCCCACAACACAAATCTGTCTGAGGGAGCCTAACCAATACCCTGGGGAAGGAGTGTATCTTTGGATAGATTTGTTGACACTGTATAGATCCCAATCGACCACCCCTCCATTTTCCTACACTCAGAACATTCTACATGATACCTGTTTTTCAGTCCTCGGGTATTTTGTTTCTGCTGTGGCCCCTGCTACATTTACTACATTTAATACTAGTAGTCCTCCATGCCTAGAATATCCTCCTTCCTTTGCTTTTCAAAATCTTTACCTTCCTTTAAAGTTCATTTCAAGCATTCTCTCTACCATGAAGCCTTCTCTGATCTCTCTCCCTGGTTGCTAATCCTCTCTCCCTCCTGGCATTACTCAGTATTATCCATTTCTGAGGACATGCTGACTGGCATTGTGCTGCAGTAGAATGAATACTGGCTCAAACCCAGCTTCTTATGTAACTTTGGACAAGTCACTTAATGTCGCTGGGCCTCAGTTTCCTCATGTTCCAAATGAAATGATTGGATTAGATTACCTCTAAGGTCCCTTTCAGCTCTAAATGTAAGATCCCATGATCCTACATCTGACTGTATCACTCCCTACTTAAAAAAACTTCCTTGGTACCCTGGCTCACTAGGATGAAATGCAGACCACCGAATCTGATCTTTAGGGCCTTCCAGACTCTGACTACAACTTACCTCTTTCCTATGACTTCCCTTTCTGCCCTTTCTGTTCCAGTCAAATGTAATAATTTGCTGTTACCAGAATTCACCATGTAATCTCCTGTCTCTATATATTTGCCCAAGCCCTGCTCCATTCCTAGTGTGTACTTCCTTCTTATCATGTGCCTTTCAGAACCCTTATCTTCATTCACATTTCAATTTTAGTGCCACCTCTTCTGGGAAGTCATCCTTGATCCCTCCACGTATTAGTCCACACTCAGTCTCTTTTCCAATAGTCCTAGAGCTCATTGGCTGATCTCTCTTGTTCCCTCTTTATTCCTTGCTCTGTTTTCTAATTCTCTGTGTCCATTTTGTATCGTTCCAGTAGACTATGGCTACCTGAGGGTAGAGAATATTTTATTTTTATTTCTGTATCTTCTAAACCTTATGCAGTACCTCATACATGGTAGGTACTTATTAATATTTGTTGAATTTATTAATAATCACATTAGTTGTATTTGACTCCTATCATTTTAATAATTTGCAATTCTTAAATGGCTGAACCTTTATAGAGAAATTTTAGATTTTTATTTTCATATTGTATGTTACACTGATTTATAAAGGTTTGATTTGAGAAATACTTTAATTGGATATGTTTTCTAAGAGTGTAGTCTTTAAGATAGAGGCCCAGACCCCAGGGGAGCCAAAACATTAACCTAAGAGATGACCCTCAGAATTCTAATGTGAGCCCTCTTCTCCCTCAATATTATTTCACTTGGTGATCCATCAAACCCCTGAATTTAATTACCATCTCTTTGCTGATGATTCTCAAATGAACCTATTCTGCCCTAGTCTCTCTGCTGACCTCTAGTCTCATATCTCCAACTGCCTTTCAAACATCTTGAACTGATTGTAGTAGACCTCATCAACTCAATGTTTCCAAAACTGAACTCATTATCTTTCCCTTTAAACTCCCCCCACCTCTTCTTCCTATTATTGTAGAGAGCAATAACATTCTCCCAGTCCATCAGGCTCACAACCTAGGTGTCATCGAGGATTTGTCCCTCTGTCTTACTCCCAACCTCCCATGTGTTGCCAAGACCTGTTGATTTTTCTTTTGAAGCATCTCTTGAATATGGCCCTTCTCTCATATGATGCTTCCAGTTCTGTGGTGCAGGCCCTCATCACCTCACACCTGGACTATTGTAATAGCCTGCTGGTGGGTCTGCCTGCTTCAATCCCCAGCCCAATCCAACCTCCATTCATCTGCTGGTTTTTTCCCTTTTTTTTCTGATAAGGAAGGCAGTAAAAAAATAGAGACCACTAATCTAAAACAATTGCATTTCCAAAGGAGAAGGAAAACTGCTACCCATTCACAGATGAAAAGAAGGAATTCCCCTGCAATCTTTTTGGCTAATCTGCATTTTCAAATCAAGACAACCATATTCTGTGTGTACTGTGAAATCTATGTAACAAAATATGCTATGGATATGATGTATTACTAGACTTTTATCAATAACTGTACCTGGTGGTCCATACTCATCCAACTTCTTCCCTAATATGATGTTAGGAGTTAGATGAATTCTCTCTCCAATCTCTCCACACTGTCCAAAGTGGTCAGTTCGTGGAACATCATTGCCTGGGGGATTAGGGACTTCAATGATGATGTCTGCCTAGAAATATATTTTTGAAAAACCTTTTTTGTTATGTAGAACCTAAACAAAACTTGTAATTTTTGCACTGAAAGATTTAAGAAAAATGATTATTACTAAATTGAATTTTTTAAAAATTGAGGTTATAAAAGACCTACTGTTGTTTAATAAACATAAGAGTTTGATGATCTTACATTTTTGTAAGTCTCAAGTCTCGGTTTCTCATAGTCTGGTTTTGTCTGCCATGTCTTAGGAATCAAGATGGACACTCCTTTGAAGTAAAATCTTTTTTCTGTGGCCTCATATAGGTAAATTGAAGCCTCTGACACAATGTCCTATGTGACAAAAAGAAATATAGAAAGAGGAGATCAGTGAATTGGGTGTGCAACTAAAAGAGCTAGAAAAAGAACAAATTAAAAATCCCCCCATTAAATACCAAATTAGAAATTCTGAAAACCAAGGAGAGATTAATAAAATTGAAATTAAGAAAACTATTGAACTAATATGAATAAAACTAAGACCTGGTTTTATGAAAAAAATAGGTAAACCTTTGTTTAATTTGATTAAAAAAAGAAGAAAACCAAATCATCAGTATCAAAAATGAGAATTCATCACCAAAAAAGAGGAAATTAAAATAACAATTATGAGCTCTTTTGCTCAGTCGTATGCCAATAAATTTGACAATCTTAGTGAAATGGATGAGTATTTACAAAAAGATAAATTGTCTAGATTAACAGAAGATGAAATAAAATACTTAAGTAACTCCATTTCAGAAAATGAAATTGAATACGCTATCAATGAACTCCCTAAGAAAAAATCTCCAGGGCCAGATGGATTTACAAGTGAATTCTATCAAACATTTAAACAATTAATTATAATACTATATAAAGTATAAGAGAAAATAGGCAAAGGAGTCCTACCAAATTTTTTTTTTTTTATGATACAGATATGGTGCTGATCCCTAAACCAGGAAGAGCCAGAACAGAGAAAGATAACTGTAGAACAATTTCCCTAATGAAGATAGGTGCAAAAATTTTAAATAAAATCTTAGTAAAAGGATTACAGCAACTTATCTCAAGGATACTACACTATGACTAGGTAGGATTTATACCAGGAATGCCACGCTGGTTCAATATTAGGAAAACTGTCAGCATAATTGACCGTATGAACCACAAAACTAACAGAAATGATATGATCATCTCAATAGATGCAGAAAAAGCTTTTAATAAAATACAACACCTATTTCTGTTAAGAACACTAGAGAGCATAGGAATAAATGGAGCCTTCTTTAAAATGATAAGTAGTATCTGTCTGAAACCCTCAGGACCATTATATGTAACGGAGATAAACTAGAAGCATTTCCAATAAGGTCGGGGGTGACACAAGGATGTCCGTTATCACCAGCATTATTCAGTGTTGTAGGAGGAATGTTAGCTTTGGCACTGAGAAGAAAAAGAAATTGAAAGAATTAGAAAAGACAAAGAAGGAAAAAAAGCTATCTCTGTTTGAAGATAATATGATGGTATACTTAGAGAATCCTAGAGAATCAGGTAAAAAACTATTTGAAATAATAAACAAATTTAGCAAATTTGCAGGACATAAAATAAAGCCACATCAGCATTTCTATGTATTACTAACAAAGCCCAACAGAAGAGATAGAAAAAGAAATTCCATTTAAAGTTATTGTAGACATTATAAAATATTTGGGAGTCTATCTGCCAAAACAAACCCAGTAAGTGTATGAACAAAATTTCAAAACACTTTTCACACCAATAAAGTCAGATTTAAAGAATTGGAAAAGTGTCATTTGCTCATAGGTAGGTTGAGCTAATATAATAAAAATGACAGTTCTACCTAAATTAATTTACTTATTCAGTGCCATACCAATCAAACTAACAAAATATTGTTCTATAGAGCTAGTGAACATAATAATGAAATTCATCTAGAAGAACAAAAAGTCCAGAATATCAAGGGAATTAATGAAAAGAAATGCAAGGGAAGGTGGTCTGACCATACTGTAGAGATCTTAAATAGTATTATAAAGCAACAATCATCAAAACTATTTGGTAGTGACTAAGAAATAGCATGGTGGGTGAGTGGAATAGATTAAGCACACAAGACACAAGTCAATGAGTATAGTAATCTACTGTTTGGTAAATCCAAAGACTCTAGCTTCTGGGATGAGAACTCAGTATTTGACAAAAACTACTGAGAAAACTGGAAAATAGCAAGGCAGAAACTAGGCACAGACCAACATCTTACACTGTATACCAAGATAAAGTCAAAATGCATACATGATTTAGAGATAAAGGCTGGTGCTATAAGCAAACCGGGAGAACAAGGAATAGTTTACCTGATGGACTTATGGAGAATGGAATAATTGATGACCAAAGAAGAGATAGAGAACATTATGTAAAGCAAAATGGATGATTTTGATTACATTAAATTGAAAAGTTTTTGCACAAATATAGCCAAAGCAACCAAGATTAGAAGGGAAGCAGAAAGCTAGGAAAGAATTTTTAGAACCAGTGTCTCTGATACAGGCCTCATTTCTAAAATGGATAGAGAGCTGAGTCAAATGTATAAGAATACAAGTCATTCCCCAGTTGACAAATGGTCAAAGGATATGAACAGGCACTTTTCAGGGGAAGAAATTAAAATTATCTATAGTCATATGAGAAAGTACTCTAAATCACTATTGATTAGCGAAATGCAAATCAAAATGACTCTGAGGTACCACATCACACCCATCAGCTTGGTTAACATGACATAACAGGAAAATGAGAGATGTTGGAGAGGATGTGGGAAAATTGGAACCTAATGCATTCTTAGTGGAATTGTGAACTGATCTAACCATTCTGGAGAGCAATTTGGAGCTATGCCGAAAGGGATAAAAACTTGTAGATAACCTTTGACCCAGCAATACCACTTCTAGGTCTGTATCCCAAAGAGATCATAAAAACTGGAAAAAGAGCCACATGTATAAAAATATTTATAGCAGCTCTTTCTGTGGTGGCCAAGAATTGGAAATTGAGGGGATGCCTATCAATTGAGGAATGGCTGAACAAGTAGTGGTATATGAATGTAATGGGATACTATTGTGCTTTAAGAAATTGTGAACAGGCTGACTTCAGAAAAACCTGGAAAGACTTATATGAACTGGTGCTGAGTGAAAAGAGCAGAACCAGGAGAACATTTCACACAGTAACAGCAACATTGTACGATGACTAGCTTTGATAGACTTAACTCTTCTCAACAATGCAAGGATCTAAGACAACTCCAAAAGATTCATAATGGAAAATGCTATCCACACCCAGAGAAGGAACTACAGAGTCTGAATGCAGATTGAAGCATACTATTTAGTGTGTCTTTGTTGTTGGTTTCTTTCTTCTTTCTGTGCTTTGTCCCATTGGTTCAAATTCTTCTTTACAACATGACTAATGTGAAAATATGTTCGATATGAATGTATATGTAGATCCTATATCAAGTTGCACATAATCTTGAGGAGGGAGAGGGAGGAAATTTAAAACTCAAAAGCTTATGGAAGTGAATGTTGAAAACTAAAAATAAATAAATTATTTAAAAAAAGTAAATCTATCAGGAATCCTGACAGCTGTCAGTGGGATAAACAACCAATCATTTAATTTCACAATGAAGATTGCTAGTATAAAAAGATTACAGTATTTTAATCAAGTGAAAATGGAGACATGTCAATATGCTTGTATTGGAGTGGGAGTCAGGTGTTCCGGGTTAAAGGGTCAGGCCTGCCTTCCCCAAAGCCCCATAAAAGCTATAATTTAGAACAAGACATTTAAACAGATTCTCAGTGCCTTCATTTGTGAAATAAGAGTAAATTTTCCTCTTTGCCTTAAATTAAATGACTTTTCAGTGAGAATAGACTAATTGGGATGCTTTAAGAGTCTTTGCTAAAGTTTCTTCAGTCTTTATCATAAAACTTGGTGAATTTGTAAGTCAGTTTCAAACCATCCAGGGTTTGATAAATGTCCTAGTTTGGTCCTGACATTTTTTCTGCCCATCCTTAGAATCACTAAGGGACTTTGCTGTCAACAGGACACAATTCAATTAAACTCAGTTTGACAAATAGCTTTTAAGTACCTAATATTGCAAAACACCACTGGGGATAGAAAGATGGCTACATTCAGACTCTGTTATTTAGGAGTTTGCAGTCTGATGAAGGTGGTTGAGGGAGGGGAAGGAGAGCCATATGTGAAAAAGAGTTATCATACAAGGAGAAAGGTGATAAATGCAAGGAGATACCCAATGTACTTGGAGTAATGTGAGTCCTGCCTCCTTCCAGCTGCGGCTTCATGGAGGGGATGACACTTGACTGCGTGACCCTTGACAAATAATGTAACCTCTCAGGGTCCCTAGCTGCTTTCCAAGAGTATTAGAGAGCGCTTGCCATTCTGTATTGGTGCCTTAGAGGTTTTTCTCCTAGGGTCATCGAATTAACAAATATTTTGATAACAGTGTAGCTTCTAATAGGCAAAAATCTCTCCATGGAGACCCTGCTGCTTTGTCATTTCCAACCAAGGAAGTTGTATATCTGCCTGAAGGCATGCCAAGTGTCATCCCCAATCTATAGATGAGGCAACTGATGATGCCCTGTGAAGTTAAATAGTAGAGGGAAAACCCAAGTGTTTTGTCTCTTTCTTCTATGCCCAACTACATCTCCCCAAACCATCCTTTAGCGAGAACAAAACCTCTCCCACTGAGAGGACCTGTATTATTACAGCTCTCTTACCTTTATGTGTTGAATGAGTTTATCATCCTCTGGCAAAGTTGGGTCAATGGCAATGACAATGTTTTCATAGCCATTATTATTCAGCTGAATGAGGGAAGCAGTTACCCCCTGCAGCAGGTACAAGGTTAAGGTGAAGATAAAATTCTTAAAGGATTCCATCATTACATGCCAGAGAGCGTTGGTGCAGAAGGTCCTTGTCTTTCTGTGTTCCTCTCTCACTCTGTCTTTATATATATAACATCATCTTCCAAACTATCTGTGTTCTCTTATTACTGCCCTTTGAACCCTCTTCCAGCAAAATAGTTTACGTTTTCATCACTATTACTCTTGTCCATATTCCAGGAAATAATGTGGAAATAACAATTGTTATATACTCAAATATTTTATTTTGGGGAGGGTATTGTGTTTCGTATCTACAATGCGATATGTTGGGATTAAAGATGTGGGAATCCCACACCCCATTTCACCAGAATGGACACACCCAGTTGGTTTGCCAAGGCAAATATTGTGCTTACAGCTGTTTGCCCTGTCTGTGACCCTGATTCCTCTCAGCAGAGGTCTGACTGGAGTTAGCCAGCACTTATAAAATTAAAAAGGAATGGCGTAGTAGAAGGAGCATGAAATTTGGAATTAGAAGTCTTGGATTTGAATTCTAGCCCCACCATTCCCTACCTGTGTGACTTTGGGCAAATTACATCAGTTTTCCTGACTTTAGTGTCCTTATAGGTGAAATATGATCTCTAAACATCTAGTCCTGGGATCCTTGAGCTGTTGTTTTTTCCCATTAGAATGTAAGGTCCTTGAGGGCATGCCATCTTTGTTGCTTATATGTGTATCCCAGCACTTAGCAGAGTAACTGGCACATAATAAGTCCTTAAAAATATTTTGCCTGTCTGGTCGTCTCTCACTCATTCTGGTTATGTCTGTCTGCTTATATATCAATCTAATCTGTCTATCATCTATCTATCTATGTGTCCATATATCTCTGTATCCATCATCTATCTAGCTATAATCTATCTATGTATCTATGTATCTATCTATCTATCTATCTATCTATCTATCTATCTATCTATCTACTTATATCTATGTATCCATCATGTATCTAGCTATGATCTACCTTTCTGTCTGTCTGTCTATCTATCTATCTCAGAATCTAGGCAGTAGGTAGCAGTGGAGGACAGGAAGATCTGAGTTCATATCCAACCTAAGGCACTTAGTAGCTATATCATCCTAAAAAGTTACTTAACCTCTCTTTGCCTCAGCTTCCTCAACTGTAAAATGGGCATAATAATCACATGAACCTCATAGGGTTATTGTGAAGATGAAATGAGGCAACATCAGTAAACTGCTTTGCAAACCTTACAGCTAAATATAAATACTAGGTATTATTACTATTATCTTTTTAATCTATCACTGTGTGCCTGTGTTTCTGCATCTGCAAAGTGAACTAGATAGAGTCAATGATCTCTAATTTCCAGCAAGTTTCTAAATCCTAAGGTTCTTTGCTCCTGAAATTTTATTTAATCAGAACATTCAAACCAATAAAGTTCAAACTCTTAGGCCTGGCATTCGTAGTTGTCTACAATTTTGGTGTCACTCTGTTTGCTATCCCTTCCTTATTACTCTTCTCTGTTCCCTCCAAAATGTACAACTCTGTCCCTCCCCTTACCTTATGCCAAGTTGTTCCTAGGCTGCTTTCAGAGGATCAAGTATGATAGCGTTTGAGCTAGAAGGGACAGCAGGGGCCATCCATCTCAATCCCCTCATTATGTAGAAAAGGAAACTTTTCACTGAGCTCAGACAGATTTAAGGGTCTTTGCTAAGGCTCCTCCAGTCTTTACCATGAAACTTGGTAGATTTGTAAGCCAGTTCCAAATCATGCAGAGTGTGATGCGTGTCCCAGTAAAGCTCCTGACATTGTTCCACCCCATCTGAGGGTCCTAAGGGACTTCGCTGTCAACAGGGCACCCTAGAAGCTCATTCTGCCCCATGTGGCCTCTTCACCCTGAAATTATACTCTTCCCCTTGTGGTCCCTTCTTTCATTGGTCAGTTCTTCTCAGAACTTTCAGCCATGTCTTCATTCATCTCCTGACGCCATGTACTACTCTCTAGACTTTTCCTACCATGTTCCTTCTCCCTTCACCTCACCCACAGCCCCTACTCAACATTTCCAATTCCTTTTATGTATTGTCTTGTCCAATAGAATGTGAGCTCCCAGAGGCCAAGGACTGTCATTCTTTCTGCTTCTATATATTTCCAGCAGTTATCACAATGCCTGGCACATAGCAGTAGGTATTTAATTAATACTTATAGACTTGACATGACTTGTGAGAAACCACTCCAATTTCTTTAAGTTTTAGCTGAGAATAACATATAGTTAATGGACGATAGTACTTTGGTAAATGTATTAGATGTCACATTATAATATACTGTTTAAGCCCAGAATTCTTTAGTTGAACTGGAGTTATAGAAGCATGGAGAAGAGTGGAAAGGATCACTGCATTGAAAATATTGTCAGAATTCTCTGTGTGCCTAGCAGACCAACAGATGCATTTCAGTTTCATAAACAGGAATTAGGACTCAGTTCAGAATTTAAAGACTTTGTCAACCCTGGTGGTCATAATATCCTCTGAAATCATCCAAAATTATTGTGGACAAATTATGGACAAAATAAAGCTTCTTTCTGATACAAATGTATCTTAACCCTTCCATAATAATAATAGTGATAATAATAGTGCAGTTTCTCTAAAATTGGGATAGGGACAAAGTCTGGACCTGTGACTTCACTGGTATAGGGAGCTCCTCAATTACGAAACAGCCTCTACTAAGGCAGGTTGGCACCTGATGTGGAGCCTATAACCTTCAAGAGTTGACCTTGCCACTGAAAGGTGCAATGACTTGCCCAGGGTCCCAGAGCCAGTATATGCCAATGTGAGATTGTAACTCAGGCTGTTCTGCCCCCAAAATCTACAAGATAATGATCACTCATTACTTGGAAAGTTCAATCCAGTCATGTGTTCCTTAGCAATCTCAACCACCTGAATGAGGACACCATCCTCATCAGTCTTACACTGTACAATCTCTGTAGTTTAATACCTTTTCATTTTAAATAGGGGTCAAAGAGAAGCTAAATTAAATTATAAAACTTCATATTATAGAATCTCATGAGAGGATATATCTATATGTTTTATAAAGTTGGGAGACAGATTTGGACTCTATTTTTAGTGTCTCTGCTGCTAACAGTCAGAATCTTATCCACACTAGGATATTGAACTGATGGGTGGTTTCAGGAAAGAGGCAATTGCCCTCTCCCTTGGACCCCTTTTGTGAGTGATGGCTCTAGGTTCTTCAGGTTATAAGCAGAATCATTGTGATGATATTTTAGAGCCAGAAGATAACTTAGAGATAAGTTCAGCTTATTATTTTTCAGTTAAGCAAATTAAAACCTAGAGAAATTCTGACTTGAGTGAGTTTCCATGGCCAGTTAAAGCTAAGTGTAGCCAAAGGGTACTGACTTCAGAACATATTAACAGTTAATTATTAATGTACACCATATGAATAGACAAGGATCTCTAGCTAAGAGACTGCTACTCAGGCAGTTTGGCCCCTAGTTTGCATCTTATAGTGTTACAGAATTGTCAGTGACTTGCCCATCACAGGATGAGGTTGTGTCATGGACAGAATATGACCCTAGATCTTCCTGACTCTGGGAGTGGCTTGTTTCACTCACAGGCCTGAGGTGGACATCCCCCTTGCTCACCAGCAGGTTTGAGGTCCATTGGTTACCCTCAACTTGCTTTAGCCCTTTTGCCAAGACAGTTTTACTGAAGTGTGGCCACAGCACATGCTACCCAGCTTCTTGAAACCATGGGTGAGAGTTGTGTGACTGATTAGACACCACAGGTGAATGAGTAGCCCTGAAAAGGTCTCAGCAAGCTCTCACAGCAGAGGTGCTAGTCCTTCTGAACACTCCACACACCCTAAGGCGATAGTCCCACTGTGGAAAGCAATCTCTCTGTCCTGGTGAGACCATAGCTGGACAATTGTGCTCTGCTGTTGGGGCTACATTTGAAGAGGGACATTGGTAAGCTGGAGCCAGTCTAGAAGAGGGTTTGAAGACGAGAGACTCTGCTATTTGAAGTTCCCATGAAAGGAATAAGAACAGTTAGCTTGGAGATGAAAATATTTAGGGTTGTACAGGACCATAGTTGTAACACTGAAAAGGACCTTAGAGTACAACCACTTTACTTCACAGATGAGTAAACTGGGGAGCAGGGGAGTGAGAACTATAGGCTAATGGTCCCACAGGTTCTCTGACTCCAAATCCAGCAGTCTTCCCACTGAGCCATGACCTTAAAGTCTCTGAGGATCTGTCACATGGAAAAAGAATTCAATGTGGCTCATTTTTCCCTGGAGGGCAGTCCTAGGAATGGCAGATGAGAGGCAGGATTTGGCTCTGCAGAAAGAGAACTTTTCTAAAAATTAGAGCTGTCCAAAAGTGACATGGCCCATCTGGGATGTTTGGGTTTTCCATCTCTAGAGTTCTTCCAGTGGAGGCTCTTAGACAACCACTGTGTGTTCCATATTCATTGAATTCATGTTCTATTGGAGGAGATTCCTGCTTGGGTAAGTGTTGTACTAAATGACATCTGTTCCAACTCTGAGATTCTGTCTTGTGGGGGTAGACTAACTTCTGTGCACAACTGTTGTTGACTAACCAAAGTGAGAAGTTACAAGTGTAGTTTCTCTAGCCTACTAGTACCATTTAATATTTTTGTTCTTTCTCTTTACATTTTAATTCTTTTGCTGTATTCCTATTGTAGTCTTTTACTTTTTATATCATTTGTTTCTGAAAATATCCCTCCCTTTGCCCTTCGTAGCAATCCATCTTTTATAATATTTTTTTTGAAGAAGAGGTAAAATAAGCAATTCAGCAAAACTAATAAGGAAAAAGACCATGTCCTATGATAGATAGAATATTATTACCTACAGTCCCCCACTTCTGCAATACAGGGAGAGAGGCATGCTTTCCTATCTTTTCTCTAGGGACAAGCTGGACTGCCATTCAAAACTGTCTTAGTTCTCATCCAAACAATAAAAACACATTTAAAAAAATGGTAAATGAGAGTAGACTTTATTTGTCAGTGGGCAGGATAGTGAATAAAAAGGTGATAATTGTCACACTTGGCTAAATAGTCCTTTCACATACACATCCAGATATTTTGTGTTACATCATCCACATGTCAATGTTTCCTTCACACCCGGCAATCAGGAATACATCTGAGAAATGTTTATAATCAAAAGGGGAATGGATGAGGTGGGACAAAGCCAGAAGAAAAACTGGATTTGTACTCCTCTCACAAAACCTGAGCTTCAGGCCTCTATACATAAGGCCCTTTACTTCGGTATCGTCACCTGCAGCTCACCCAGCCACTTCAACATTATTTTATAGATGTGACTGCCACTACAAGGGGTCTCCTCTGGAGGTATAAATACAGATACTTGTGCAATGTTGGATAATTTGGACTTCAGATTTGCTTTATCAACAGCCTGGATGGCAATGCAGATGTTGGTGCCATTTACCAGATTGATGCCTTTTGGCTCAAACACAAAGAATTCCTGGGTGCTGGCCTCCTTAGGTGTCAGGTGAGTAGTGTTCACTTGGAGAGCATCATCAAACTTATCCCGTAGGTCAAGGATATTTTCACTCATTCGTATGATGTACTCTTGGGCTAAAAGGACATGAAACTACTGATAATATTTGCATAGATTTAATAAGTAGAAAAATAACAAATATCACAGAGATCAGAAGAATGTGTTCTCCCTATCTAAGAAATCAATAGTAAGCTATAGTTATAGTCTTATCTAGCATTCCATTTAAGGTCTTGTATATGCATCCTTGACAGAGTGATAAATGTCAAGCAGGTACCTATGTAGTAGATCTCCACAGGAACAATTTTTCCTGAGAGAGGGAAATGATATTTCTTGTTAAGTTCTTTACAGATTGAGTTCTGGGTAGCTTTACTCCAAAGGGGGTAACTTAGTTCTACAGAACATTTCTATCTTATTCCTAAACCTGCCCCTCCATCTACCTTTCATTCTTCTAGGCTATACATTTCTGTCTTCTCTGATACAAACCTCAAGAGAAGCTTTCTATGAACTTTGTTGCTTTAGTAAAATATCTCATAGTATAAAAGCATGAATTTCTGGGAATAGATTTTCTTTTTAAAACCATATTTTTTAAATTGCTCTTTCTTCAAGAGGGCGTTCAAGAATGGCTAAGTGGCTGCTTGTTTGCATATGAGTTGGATTAGGTGGGCTCAGTATTCTCTTCTAGCACTAATAGTCTATGTTCCTTGTGAATATTCTCTCCTTCCTGAAATTCCTTTGAATTATTTTGTATATTAATTACATTTACTTAACTCTGTTCATGTTGGATCTCTACACCAGAACACAAGCTCCTTGAGGGCAGGGACTCTCTTTCTGCAGTGCCTACTGCACTGACTTGTACAGAGCAGACACTTGGAAATGGCTGCTTTTTGTTGTTGTTATTGTTCTAAATGATAACCAAACTTCACACTTACCTTGACCATCATCATAGTCATCTCCAGGAGCTGTCCATGTCAGATTAATTCGATTTCCTTCTATCTGAGCCTTGAGGTCAGTGATTTGAGATGGTGGGAATACATCTTGAATAGAGCCACTTGGAATATTGGTTACTATAAATGAACCTCCTGATGCTGTTCTGCTGAAAGATACTTGCTTGCCTTGAAGGTCACTGGCATTAAATTCAGGTCGTGGTGGATTCATTTTTACTTCTCCTGCATGGAAAAAGTTATTCAGGTCTTTAGGCACAATACCACTTGCTTGCTGCATTTTTTTGGGGGGGCACTTGGGGTTAAGTGACTTGCTGAGGGTCACACAGCTAGTAATGTCAGATGTTTGGTCTGAGGCCGGATTTGAACTCAGGTCCTCCTGACTTTAGGGCTGGTGCTCTATCCACTTTACTGCGAGTGCTCCATCTACTACGCTTTCATTATATATGATCATAGTGCCCCCAGCTCACCCACCTCTTTCAGTTTTTTTCTTCTCAATAACACTTTCATCCCTTGCTAAATTTAGGTATCTAGCCATGAGTCAAGTTTGTAACAAGTAAAATGAAGAAAGGAAATATCCCCCCTGTCTTTCCTGAAGACCAGGTTTACTGGAAATCACTCATTTGGAAAAACTGTGTCACCTCCTCTGCCTATCTAATTAATCCTCTACATCTTTCAGATCCTATTTCATAGTCTGCATCCTCCCAATGGCCTTCCCTGACTACTCCAGCCTCAAGTGAACTGATTTTGCTTGCCTCTGAGGCCTGTAGTATTTACTGTCTATACCAGAAACATGAAACATGCTGCCTGACTCATTGAGAAGCAGGAGGGAATAGATTTATATAGCTTGGCCATGTTGGAGAGAGCCAAGAGCCATGAGTAGACATTAGACAGGAGCAGATATAGCAATTAGAGCTATTCTAACATAGAATAGACTTTTTCAGTGGATTGCTTCATCAGCAGAGAGCTTCAAGCAGAGGATGGAGACTGTGTTATAGAGGAGACTCTTGCTCCAGGAATGGGTTGGTGTAGTAGGCCAAGGAGGTCCCTTCCAGTTCTGAATACTGTTATACTTAGCCTTAACCTTTCTACTTCTACCCAAACATTTGTGTCTGTGGGCAATACTGGAATACTTAAGGCTTACACACTGATTCTTCTTCCAGTTACAGATATGCTGAGACTGCTTTCTTGTGTTGTACTGGTCTGCTGAATTTTCTATGTAGGCCAGAGATACTGACTTACAGTAAGATGTACATGTTAGGTAGCCTCTCAATGCAGAATTGCAGAACCTCAGAGTTGCAAGGGACCCAATGGCCATATAACCCATGTTATGTGAAAAGAGTCCTCCTCTACAAGAAACCTGAGTAGTCATCCAGGTTGGACTTGAAAGTCTTTAGTGATGGGGAGCCCATCTAGTGGGGGGAAACTCTGCTTGCTGAAGTAGCTCATTTAGCTATGGAAGAGATCTAAGTGTTAGAAGATTTTACTTTCTATCAGGTAAATCTTCGTGTTGCAACTTGTACATACTGAGGTTGTTCTGCCCTCTGGGACAGATCAATCTAATCTTTCTTCCTTGAGAGATCCTTCAACTACTTGACAGATAAGTCTTTTTAGTTGGGCTAAATAGCCCCACTTCTTTCAACAAGTTTCATAATGTATGAATAATCTTTAGTTTGAGATCCAAGATGTGTGAAAGTTCAATTGGATCCCCTCTTGCCATTGACTCAATACAGTACCATATTTTTTGTTATGGGAAGTTTCCAAGGAAATAAAAAAGAATTATGAAAATAAATCAACCAATTGGAAAAAGAGATCTAAAATCTTAAGGAACAATATAATTCCTTGCAAAGTAGAAGTGGGCCAGGGGAAGTGAATGATGTTATACATCATCAGAAATAATAAAACAAAATCAAAAGAATAAAAAAATAGAAGAGAATATGAAACATCTAATTAGAAAAACAACTGATCTAGAGAAGAGGTCAAGGAGAAACAAGATATGAATTGTTAGACTACCTGAAAGTTAAATTAAAAAAAAGAATATTGATACAATATTACAAGAAATTGAAGGAAAATTACCTGAGATTCTAGAACAAGAGGGTAAAGTAGAAATAAAAAAAAATCCACCATTCACCATCTGAAAGAGATATTGGTTTCTTACCATTCTCTACCAGCCTGGTATGTATAAGGCTCCATTCACTTGGGGTCTTGACATTTGGGTGTTGTTCCTCCCAGGGCTCTCACTTTTAGCTGTATCGACCATTTGTTTTGTAGGATCTGAAATACCTTGAATAGACACCATCATTCTTGAAAGCATCAGCACTTTGTGTAGAAATAAAGGAGCTGTTAAGCATTGCCATGATAGAGGAATATATAAATTCTCAAAAATACAGTTGGACATTGGAAAATAGTATAGACTCAAAGATATATGCACTTCTAGACAAACTATATTTTTATAAACTATTTGAGAGTTTTCAAAGCTTATACAAACTTGATCTCATTGGAATCTCTCAACAACCCTGTAAGTACTATAACATTGGTGTGTTAGGTAACTTGTACTAGAGAAAGCTGATTGGTCAATTTTTAATGTTGAGCATTTATACCTTGGAAGTACCTACAAGTTGGGCCTTGGTTTATTGTTTAGTTGAATGTCTAGATTTAAGAAAACAATGGAGATTAAATTTAGAAGTGTGTTGTATGTTCTTTTTTTCCCCAGAGAGTCAGTCCTTAAAAATATACCAGCAGAGCCCAGTTGAAATATATTACTGTACCCATTGTATAAATGAGGATCCTGAAACTTAGATCAGTTAAGTGACTTTTCCAACATCAAAGAACTAGTAAGTATAAGAGGCAGGACTTGAACCCATGTCTCTTCCTTCTCTCTCAATCTCCATATCCAGTCATTTGCCAAGTCTTGTCAATTTGACCTCTATATCATCTTTTCCATCAATCTCTTTTCCTCTACTCATACAGCCCCTACCCTAATTCAGGCATTTGGATGATTATAAGAGCCGCATAATTTGTCTTCCTGCCTGCAGTCTCATCCCTCTGCAACACTCCTAAAACACAGATCTGAACATGTGACCTTACTATGCAAAAACTTCAATTACCCCGTATTACTTGTTTAGAAACCTTGTCAGTCTTTTAAATCCCTCCATAATTTAACTCTCACCTGCCTTTGTAGTGTTGTTTTCTATTACTCCCTTTCATGTGATCCCCATACCAATCAGACTGGTGGGCTAACTGTGCCCTGTGCATATCCTTCACTCTCTTACTTCTCTGCCTTTGATTAAATGATCTACTGGTCTCCCAGTTTTGGAATGTGCTTCTTCCTCAGCTCTGATTCTTGGAATCCATAGCTAACTTCAAAGCATAGCTCAGGTCCCATCTCCTCCACAAGGCGTTAATTTCCCCTATTTGTTAGTTCCTTCCCTATCCTGTTTCACACCTAAAGTACTTGGAATTTACCTTGCGTAAAATTTGCCTTTACCTATCTGTGCAGGTTATTTTCAGCCAGTTTGATTGTAAGTTCCTTGAGGGCAGGGATTGCTTACTGTTTCTTTAAACATTTCTAGCTGCTAGCAATGTGCCATACCTTAGTATCAGTTTAATAAATGTCTCTCAAATCCATACATGTTTCTTAAATGGATACCCCACATAGTGCCAAGAGGTTCTCTTCCCCAGAATGCACAGGTATTTCAAAGAGTAAAGGAGACATCATTGCTGAAGGCTGTCTACATAGCCCATTCTGTGGAGAGTATGTATTGGGGACAGAGGCAGGGTGGTGCTGATCTTTGGTAAGTGTGATATTCTTCCTCCCAGGAATCATGGAATAATTTGGGAGCCATTGCTCTGTAGTTATTTCCCTATAGTCTAATGATTTTGAATTTGCTTTTTACCAAATAACGTTTAAAGTTGTTTAATATCTGATTACAGTCTTCTCTGGGCCCCTCTTTCCTAAGCTATATGGGTTCACCTAACCCAAGTTACTACATTCCCTTGTGATCTTAGGGAGAGCCTTCATTGCTTGTGTATTCATAGATTATACACTTTCCCTAAAACTAAAAGATTCTTAGCTGTCTTTGTTTGGTTACTAGGGGGCCTGTTATGTTTCCAGGTAAACAATCTTCCTGGACCTCAAGCCTGATGCTGACATTCATTCAATTCAATTCAGTAAGCTAGAGGCACATTAACAAGAAGGAAACAGACCCTGTCCTCAAGCAGATTATATCTAGCTTGCAGACACAACTCAAACCAAGATAAGCAGTGGAAAGGTCAATACAAAGTGTGTACAAGGTAAATACCAAGCAGTTTTGTGGGGAGGAGAATAGAGAGGGAAGTAGCTTTTAGGGGAATTCAGGAGAAATCATGTGTAGGAGATGGGACCTGATTTGTGTTGTAAAGGAAGCTAGGGATTCTAAGAATCAGACGGGAGGAAGGAATAGATTCCTTACTCATAAAAGTAGAGAAAACTTTTGCACAGATCTAGAGTTCTTTTCAAAGGAAATAAAACATGTTTTTCATGGATCATGAGCTGGAAAGGACATTGGTTGGACATTGAATTCAACCCCTCATTTTACAGTTGTAGAAACTGAGACCCAGTGATATTGTGACTGCCCAAGATCATACAGCTAATACATTTCAAACATGAGTATCCAGGCAAGAGATGGAGCCAAGATGGCAGAGTAAAGGGAGGGACTCACCTGACCTCTCCTGAGACCCCTCCAAATGATGTTAAGGAATGACTCTAAACAAATTCTAGAGTGGCTGAACCCACAAAATGACAGAGTGAAACAGTTTTCCAGCTGAAGATACCTTAGAACGTTGTCAAGAAAGGTGTGTTGCAGTAGGGTGAGAGGAAAACTATCCAGTGCAGGCTGCACCAGTGAAGACCAGACTCCAGCAAAACAGGTGTAGGCCTCAGGGCAATTGATTCAGTGGCAGTGGTGGTGGTTTCCAGACTTCTCAGCCCAGAAATGGTAAAGGGATTGGACAATGGGTCAGAATGAGATTTATAGGGGTTCCTTTGCTGGCACTTGGGCAATACTCTGTTACATTGCCTGTACTTGGATCTGTGTTGCAGTCTGGAGCTTTAGTCCCAGTGTGAGGAGTAGCACTAGGAAAGACAAACAAAACTTACAGCCACTGGGGTACAGGGACCACGGTCACAGTTTCAGAATTGAAAAGACTGCTTGTGGTCCCTCAGAGACCAGAGCACAAGTGAGGAGAGTAGTAACACATCTCTCCCTAGATCATACCACCTTGGAAGTGCCAAAAACTTACAGTCCCCAGAATTACCTCTGAAAACAGCTGCACAAAAACATGACATTTGGGACAGTGTCCTCTCCACTTGGGAAACAAAACCTCACTTTAGCATAGAGTTAAAAGTCAAGAAGTTGAGTTGAAAATGAGGAGACAACGGAAAAAATTCTGACCATAGGAAGTTATTATAGTGACAAGAAAATCAAAACACACACTCAGATGACAACAAAGTAAAAATTCCTGCATCCAAAGCCTCAAAGAAAAATATGAATTGCTTGCAGAACATGAAGGGACTCAAAAAGAATTTTGAAAATCAAGTAAGAGAGGGAGAGGACAAATTGGGTTGGGAGTGATGCAAGAAAATCATGAAAAATGAGTCAACAGTTTAGTAAAGGAGGCATGAAAAAATACTGAAGAAAATAACACCTTAAAAAACAGAATAGGTGAAATGGTAAAAGAGGCAGAAAAATCTAATGAAAAGAAGAATCCTTGAAAACAGGGTTGGTCAAATGAAAAAAAGATATACAAAAATTCACTGAAGTGAAGAACTACTTTAAAAGGTTGAATTGACCAAATGGAAAAGGAGGTACAAAAACTCACTGAAGAAATAATTCCTTCAAAGTTAGAATTGAGCAAGTGGAGGCTAATGACTTTATGAGACATCAAGAAACAATCAAACAAAATCAGAAGAATTTAAAAAAAAAGGAAGAAAATGTGAAATATCTCTTTGGAAAAATAAGTTGTCTAAAAATAGATTCAGGAGAGACAATTGAAGAATTATTTGACTACCTAAAAAGGATGATGAAAAAAATGAGCGTAGACACCGTCTTTCAAGAAATTATCTAGGAAAATTGCCCTGATATTCTAGAACCAGAGGATAAAAAAGAAATTGAAAGAATCCACCAATCAACTCATGAAAGAGATCTCAAAATGAAAACTCATAGGAGCATTATAGCCAAATTCCAAACTTCCCAGATCAAGGAGAAAATACTGCAAGCAACCAGAAAGAAATAATTGAAATATCATAGAGCCACAGTCAGAATAACATAAGATGGAGCAGCTTGTATGTTAAATGAGTGGGGGGCTTGTAATTTGATATTCTAGAGGGCAAAGAGCTAGGATTACAACCAAGAATCCTACCCAGCAAAAGTGAGTATAATCCTCCAGGAGAAAAATGGATATTCAGTGAAATAGAAGACTTTCTAGCATTCCTGATTGAAATACCAAAACTGAATAGAAAATTTGATTTTCCAATACAAGATGCAAAAGAAGCATAAAAAGAAATGATGATCAGGCAGATTTATGGAAAACCTAGAAAGATTTAAATGAACTGATTCTGAGTGAAATGAGCAGAGTCAGGAGAACATTGTGCACAGTAACAACAACATCATGTGACAATCAACTATGGTAGACTTAGCCCTTCTCAGCAATACAGTGATGCATGACAATTCCAAAAGACTCATGATGGAAAATTCTATTCACATCCAGAGAAAGAACTGTGGCATCTGAATGCAGATCAAAATTTACTATTTTCACTTTTTTGTTTTTGTTTTTGTTTTCTTTCTTGTGATTGTCTCCTTTTGTTCTGATTCTTCTTTCAAACCATGAATAATGTAGAAATAGGATTAATATGGTTATACATGTGTAACCTATGCCAGATTGCTTATTGTCTTGGGGAAGGGAGAGGGAAGAGAGTGAGGGAGAAAAATTTGGAACTCAAAATCTTATAAAAATGAATATTAAGAACTATCTTTACATATAACTGGAAAAAGTACTATTAAGTGGAGGAATAGTAGAAATGATGAGCAGGATGCTCTTTGAAAAACATGGAAAGACTTCCATAAACTGACCTGCTTTAACTTACGTGAACAAGAGCAGAATGTTCTTTAAAAAATGTGGAAAGACTTACATGAACTGATGCAAAGTGAAACATGCAGAACCAGGAGAACATTGTATACAGTAATGATATTGTATGATAATCTATTATGAATAACGTAGCTATTCTCGGCAGCAGTGATCCAAGACAATTCTGTAGGACTTATGATGAAAAGTGCTGTCTCTCTCCAGAGAAAGAACTGATAGATCCTGAATGCAGATCAAAGATACTTTTTCTTTAGTTTCTCTATTTTTATTGTTTTTTTTAGGCTGCATTTTGTTTCACAGAATGACTTACATGAAAATGTGTTTTGTGACTACACATATATAATCTATGTCAAACTGCTTGCCTTCTCAATAAGGGGGGGGGAAGAGAAAGTGGAGGAGAATTTGGAATTCAGAATAAAAAAAGACTAATAAAATTGTTTTTTACATGTAATTGGAAAAAAATAAAATATTGAACAAGTAAAAAAGGGAGTGTAATTTTTCACTTTATTTTATTTTGTTAAAGTTTCTCAAATATATTTCTCAAATATAAAAGTTATGAGCCTGACTCTTCCCTTTCAGCCAGGAAAAGGTATTAATGACCTCCTGCCAAGAATGTTGATGAACACTGATGCAAACATTATAAAGTAAAAACTAGCAAAGAGATTACAACAATATATCCCAACGACCATATACTATGACCAGATGGGATTTATACTTGGAATGCAGAGCTTGTTCAATATTAGGAAAACTGTCAGCATAACTAACTATATCAATAAGTAAAACAACAAAAATCATATTGTTATCTTAATTGATAAAGAAAAAGCTTTTTGCAAAATATACTACTTATTCCTATTGAAAGCACAGAAAATTATAGGAAAAAATGGAACTAAGTAGCATTGATGTAAAACCATCAATAAGTATATGTAATTGGGATAAGCTGGTAGGCTTCCCAATAAAATTAGGAGTGAAGTAAGGATGCCCATTATCATGGCTATTATTCAATATAGAACTAGAAATGCTAGCTATAGCAATAAGTAAAGAAAAAGAAATGAAAGAAATTAGAATATCAAATGAGGAAAAAAATGATCACTCTTTGCAGGTGATATGGTAGTATACTTAGAGAATCTTACAGAACCAACTAAAAATGTTGAAATAATTAACCACTTCAGCACCGTTGCAGGATGGTAAATAAACTCCTATTAATCATCAGAATTTCTACATATTACCAACAAAGTCTAGCAGCAAGATATAGAAAGAGAAATTCCATTTAAAATAACTGCAGATAATATAAAATGCTTGGGAGTCTACCTACTAAGAGAAACTCAGGAACTATATGAACATAATTGCAGAACATTTTCCACACAAATAAAATCAGAACTAAACAATTAGAGAAATACTAATTGCTCATGGATAGGCCAAGCCAATGTAACAAAAATGACATTTCTACCTAAATTAATTTACTTATTCAGTGCCGTACTAAACAACCAAAAGTTATTTTATAGTATTAGAAAAAATAGTAACAAAATTTATCTAGAAGGAGAAAAGGTCAAGAATATCAAGGAAATCAATGAGAAAAATGTGAAGGAAGGTGACCTTACTGTACTCTGTCTCAAATCATATTACTAAGTGGTAATCATCAAAATGATCTAGTACTAGCCAAGAAATAGAGTGGTGGAGCAGTGGAATAGATTAGGCACAGAAGACACAGTGGTAAATGACCATACTAATCTAGTGTTTGATTAACCCCAAATACCCCAGTTTCTGGGACAAGAATGCACTATTTGACAAAAATTACTGGGGAAAGTGGAAAACCATTTGGCAGAAATAAGGTGTAGGCCAGCATCTTATACCACATACCAAGATAAGGTCAAATGGGTACATGATTTAGCTATAAAGGGTGATATCACATAAGCAGATTAGGAGAGCGTGCAAAATTTTATGTGTCAGATCTATGGATAAGGGAAGAATTTATGAGTAAACAAGTGATAGAGAAGATCAAGAGAATTTTAAGGTGTAGAATTTTGATTAAATAAAATTAAGACATTTTGCGTAAAGAAAATCAGTGCAGCCAAGATTAGAAGGTAAATAGAATATTGGGGAAAATTTTTTTAAAGAAAGTAACTCTGATAAAGGCCTCTTTTGTCAAATATATAGAGAATTGAGTCAAATTTATAAGAATATGAGTTATTCCCCCATTGGTAAATAGTCAATGGATATGAATGAACAATTTTCAGATGAAGAAATTAAAGTTATACATAGTCATATGAGGAAATGCTTTAAATCATTATTGATTAGAGAAATGCAAATTAAAACAACTTTGAAGTACCACTTCAGACCTATCAGATTGATTAATATGACAAAAAAGGAAAATGATAAATGTTGAAGAGCATGTGAGAAAATTGGGACACTGATGCATTGTTGGTGGCGTGGTCCACTGATCCAACCATTCTGGAGAGAAATTTGGAACTATGCCCAAAGGGCAATCAAACTGCATACCCTTTGATCCATCAAATACCATTAGTAGGTCTGTATCCCAAAAAGATCATAAAAAAGGGAAAATGACCTACATGTACAAAAATATTTGTAGCAGTTCTTTTTGTGGTGGCAAAAGTTGGAAATTGAGAGGATCCTCATCAATTGAGGAATGGCTGAACTAGTTCTGATATATGAATATAATGGTATACTATTGTGCTATAAAAATGATGGGAAGTCAGATGTCAGAAAAACCTAAGAAGAAATATATGAACAGATACAAAATGAAATGAACAGAAATAGAAGAACATTGTACAGAGTAACAGCAACATTTTGTGATCAATTATGATTGACTTAGCAGCTGTTCTTCTTAGTGATACAAGGATCCAAGACAATTCTAAAGGACTCATGATGGCAAATGCTATCCACATCCAGACAAGGAACTGATGGAGTCTGAATGCAAAGCAAAGCATACTATCTTCATTTTTTTCCTTTTGCTAATAATAATTTATTTTTTGCAAACTGTTTCCTCTTTCACAACATGACCAATATGGAAATATGTTTCATGTGATTGCACATATATAGTAGATATCAAATAACTTATCATCGTCAGGAGGGTGCATGGTAGGTAAGGAGGGAGGGAGAGAATTTGGAGCTCAAAGTATTATAAAAATGAATATTAAAAATTGTCTTTATATGTAATTGGAAAAAATAAAATACTATTAAAAAGAAAAAAAAATTGTAATTCTTTCTTAAAAGAGAAAGAACTCTAAGGTTTTTATAGGTTATCAGTTACCTGCACCATTATCCAGAAGTTCCAGAGTCTCTGTTGTTCCATCAGCTGATTCAATGAGGGCTGTCACATTGGCTCCTACAATAGGCAGGGATCCTTGGCGAACTTCTGCATAAACAACCATTGGACTAGGGAAGGTGCTGGTGTCTTTATTCATTTTACAATCCAGTGTAATAGGGGTTACATTAGGATTTGAAGCACGAGAGGTCACTGTCAGAGTCAGGGTCTGTGCATTTGACATAAGGCTGTAAGTCCAAATTCCATCCTAAAATATCCAGTGGAAATTCAGTAAAGCAAAACAGTGTTAAGACCTGCCTTACCTGCCTTCTCTGTTATCCATATCTATCTTAACGTCTTATCTGACTCATACAAGAAAATTTCAAGAAATCTGCTATAGAGTTTGTATGACTGCTTCTTTATCAGCTGTGACAGTCATTTCAAACCATTCCTCCCTATGAGTGCTGCAACTGGACTAGAGCTTTCCCCGGGGTATGCTTAATACTCATTAGTATTGAAACCTTTGCTATGAAAAATGTGACTTAAAAGATTTGACCCTGCTATAGTCTTTTCTCCACAGAAACAAGGGTACGATTTTGGAGGTCATGACACATGTGTTCTGAAGTTCTGGATGGGGAAATGGGGTGTCTTAAGTATGTTTACAGCAATCAGAAAAGGTTCCATAACTTCCTGGCCTGCCCTCCTAACCTCCCTTTTTTTCTAGCCCAGATTTTGCCTTCCTGATACTCCTTATAACAGTTCCTTTGTTGCTACAGTATAATTTTTTGAAGTATTTGCATATTGTGGTCAATTCATCACATCTTAAGAGAACATGTGGAGTTAGAGTGTAGTTTTTTTTAGTAAAAAAATACTTCTTGTCACTCAAGAATACTTGCAAAGTTATGATACTGATATTAAAGTCTTGGCTCCTTTTTCTGAAAATCTTAAGAAAACACAGAGAAAAAGCTCCTCACCTTAGCAGTGTTTGGTATTTTGAGGTATGCCATTTTGGAATTTGCATCCACAGAAAAAGTATCATAGATTTTCCCCCTGGGGTCTGAGACAAACATTTGGGGTTGTTGTGCTGTCCACGTGACAAGAAATAGTGTGTCATTGCCTACTGTGCTGTCAACAGTAACTGTGCCATTCATCCATTCCCCATCCTTCAGAGTGGCTCCCTTACTCTCAAGCTGTTAAGAAAACAAAACATTTAGTGAGTGGGTAAAGGAATAAGTCATCCACAAGTCATATCATGCCAATGGGCAAAAGATTATAAATTGCAGAGAAGGAATCAGCATGCATTGGTAGAGGGAGTTTCCTTACCTAGAGGTTCCCTCTAACAATTAAATTAGAGGCCCCTTCCCTATCCCCCTGGTTAAGCATGGGTTAGGGGATAAGATGGTCAAGAAAGGAGACAGGTGTCATGGTTATACAAATGTACGTGAATGATATTCCTGGCAGAAAGGACGTGAAAGGCAGGGCTTGAATGAGATCCCTCAGTTTTAGTCTGAGGTAATATTCAAGTTTTACACATTCAACTCTCCCTCCCTTCTGTTTCCTACTCAGTTTCCCTCCTAAATAAAATTCAGTGCAAATGGAAGCTAATCTCAGAGTGATGGCATGAGCAGATAAAGAATCCAGATTTCTTTCCACTGAACCACCCTGCCTTATTGGTCTGGCCTGGCCTGGTCCTGTTTTCCTTTTATTCTTCCCAATTACCTCACTCTCCCAGTTACCACAGAGGTTCCTCCAAACTTTTTCATCTCTCCTTAAACCTCCCATGGCTCCCTCTCCCTCACTCTCTAATCTCAAAAGCTTACCTCACATCTCAGTGAAAAAAATTGATATTTTCTGAGAGTTCCTTTTTTCCTAATCTTCCTTTTCATTTCATGTCTCCCATATGCCTTCTACCACTATCTCTTTCACTCCTGTCTACATGAAGAGGGCGCCCTTCTCTTTACCAGGCAAAACCCTGTCCATGCATGAGAAATCCATTTCTGTCCTGTCTTCTTCAGCAGTTTGTCCCTTCCATCATTCTCACACTCATTCATCTTCAATCTCCTTGTCTCATTGGCTCCTTCTCTACTACAAACATACCCATGTCTCCTCCATTCTCAGAAATCTTCATCTGATCTCTCTGTCCCCACGAGC